GAAACCTTTATAAAAATCCAGATTTCTCATACATAAAAACAAACCTTTGTTCTTCCCTTTGAACAAAAGGACACAACCACTCTTCCATCTCTCTTGCTGACTCAGAACATCCAGAGGCACACCACTCAAAACTCCCAGCACGCTCCAGGTAAGTCTTTAAGTCTTTACTTGCTTTTCATTTTGAATATCATTAACATGTAAATATCATGGTGTTAATGTTGTACATATCATTGTATGAATAGAAAAACTATGGATCAGAACTTCTAGAATAATGCTAGGCTTAGACTTAGGATTGGAACTTCTGTGATTTGTTGTGATGTGATTATTCTGATTTGTTGAACTGGATAAATTATTGTTGTGTTGATTAAGAGCTGAAATATAACACAAAACTTTTGTTTTTCATGTATCATTTTAACACACAGAACTTCCATGATTTTTCTCACTGTTAATACACACTGAACTTCTGATGTTCACACACTGACTCAGCATAATACTGAAATTCTGATGTTCACTCACAATCTTAACACAACACAGAACTTCTGAGTTCTCCTTACATGTCAAATACACTGAACTGCTGACGTTCGCTCACTGTTTAGTGTAATGCAGAACTTCTGACTTTTGGTTCACTGGCTGCACACCACCCAGAACCTATGTGTTTTCCCTCTAACGTTTTTTGTAGAACCTCAAAGTTTACCAGTCCAGAACTTCTGATCCCTCTGACGTCTCCTGCTGAGTCATGCGTCTGACTTCAGAACTTCTGATCCTTGTTACTTTCGCTTACAGCAGTGCTGTTTCTATTTTGCATTTATTTTCTTTCATAATTTTTAATATTAACTTGTTTTTAACATAAAAAACATAAACATATTTTCCTTTATTTTATTTCCTTAAGACAAAAAAACATTTTCTAAACAAGTTCATTTTACACTTCTTCTACACTATTTCATTGATCCTTTACTCTACCATTTGTGCCTATAATTTATTAATTTAATTTTAGCTTTATTTTATTCACTTGAACTACATTACGAGAGATATATAACCTATCATGTGAGGCTACAACAATTCTAATTTTATATAAGTCTACAACCTTAACTTTTATCTTTTTGCATTCACTACTACAACCAACAATAATTCAATCTATTTTTTTATTCTGCCCTACTACCAACACATTCCTATCTTACAGAACCACACAACATGTTTCCATTCTCACCAGTACTTGCAGCCTCAGTTGCAATTTTATCAACCCTTGCAAAAATATACTAAAATGCACCATTGTTTAACTGATTATGTCTACAATATGATAAATGTAATACTAAACGTTAATATCTCAAAACAACCTAGCCATACTAAATAAAGTATTTATATTACACAACTTAATATGCATGTTCATAATACAACAATTTGTCAAACTTAACAAAAAAAATACGCCAAACTAACATAACAAAAATACATATTTTAGGTCTGTAATTTAACCAACTTCAAAATAACAACTAAACCAGTACTCCAACACATACTTAAAATTTCCAACAGGTTTTTCCACTAAGTCCACCTAAGGGCTTCCAAGAAATAATCAAATACCAATCCTTTAACCAACACATCCTGCTTCAACGTCTAGCATTTCCACGCTTCACAAAAACTAATATTTCATCAACAGGCGAATATCGGATGCATAAGTTCAAAAAATGTCTCTTTCTTTCTAGCTTTAGCGAACTCATACCATCCACTAGCAAGATACTTCTCCATTTGTGGACCTCACCTCTTTTTCAATACGCAGTTGTAGGGTACACCTTTTTCTAAGTCGTATAAGACAATCGAACTACGCGGTGCAGATAAGCAATTCTTAATCACATGACACAGTATTTGAAACACATGTCAACATCAAACTAAATTACCTTAACATCTAATCACCTTAGAATATAATTACAAATCTTATCCTATATTACTTACCAAGACATTGGTACTCATAACCTTAGCATCTGTAGCGATCATACTCCAATTTTGTTCATTTTCTTCCTCGAAGATAGGAGTAAATTCCCTCTATTCAATCACCAGACGACTAATTCTTTATTAATCATACATTATTCATTTCCTACCTGTTATCCTATATCAACTTTAGGAACAAAACATGATTGAACAATACTATATTGGAAAACAATTTTGCATTTTCACTGTAACTTATACATTCCATATGCTTTAAAGAATACCGTCAATCATATAACATCAATAAAGCTTAAATGTTTACTTCACTTTCAACCATGAAAACAAAATTAACCTTAACTTACAAATACAATCTATTGTAACTACACATTAAATTGTTGTTATATATAAACTAGTATATACCTTTCACTGTCAGAAGATATGTGAATAACTGAAGATCTAACACCAGAAAGGCTTTTGGCTTTCTTTGTATTCTTATTTTCCTTGAATGTTTCACGAATATCATTTTCATGCAGCTTTCTCTTTCCATCAACAACTCCACGGTCGACGAAGGGTTCAGCTCATAGTACATTATTTTAATTACTATATAAATTTTTGGAAAAGCAAATCTTTATAATTGGACTCTTCATTGTAATCTTTTGTCTCCATCTTCTCTTTGCCCAATATTATGTACGTTAGGCCTGTTGCCCATATTTATGTATTTGTGCTGTCATATTGATCCATGTTTCGGTTATTAAATTCTGATTTTTTTCCTGAAAAAATATTATATTGATTTCTTTTTACACTTAAGTGGTAAGTATGTGATTTATAAATATGAACTTAATTTACTATATGAATGCATTTGCTTCTAAATAAATTTAATGAAACGTGGATATCAAACCAATATCTTGTGGTATGATACTATACAGGCAGTATCCACAATATCTATGTGCATTGACCATTCAGAAGCTTTAACTTATATGAAATATATATCCATGGGTTTGGTAGGTATAAAGCCTATAGCACAACTTTTGAAAGTTGATAAGTACAGTTGGAAATAAAAACGTGCACACAACTCAATGTTTTCATCATTTTTTCCTTTTAATGTAGTACCTGGAAGATTTTGATTAATAATTATTAAATTAATAAATAAGATAAATCTTTGCAGCTGAGTTAACTCTTGCCATTTCACTTACATCTGTCTGTTTTTATCTTGCATGCATCTTCCTATCTCAGCAGAAACAAAAACCGTAGTAGACTTTATAACATAATTAGTTCAACATACAAGACTTTATAATAGCTAAATATTACAACAAAAATGGTATAATAGCTAAATATTACAACAAAAATGATAACGCAGAATGGATACAACATTAACATTCTTACAAATATCATCCCAAGCATTGCCATCAAAATGTTAAACATTAATGACCCATTAGGGGTGAAAGTTGCTTCAACAAAATAACACAACATTTTTTTACTTCAAACTTAACAACCAAAATACAACATGAACCATCTCTTCGATTGTTCTACAAAATCAACAAACAAATAAAAAATGTCAAACATTATTGGAATCAACATTTTATAGACATGCAAAATGGCAGATTGAATACTGAAACAACCTTCCAATGGAGATATGAGCGACTTGTCGGTGGACATTCTCGTATGTTTGAATGTTGTTGATGGCTCTGCTTTCAACACTCTGTGGGAGTAATGCCTTGGAAGGTTGCAACTTTATAAACTAAAAAACACAACCTTAAAACGTTTCATCTACTTATTGTTGTAGAATTTCATAAACCCGGACTTATGGTCCAAACACAGTCTATGGGCCTTACTTAATAAATTGGCCCATTTGTTTCACATGCTTATTTTTTTAAAGGTCTCTTTAAATACAACATTTGTCTCAGCCCACAAGTTAAAATATCATACTGTTATCTATTTTAATTTTAGAAAATTTTGCACTCTAAATTTTTTTTCCTTTTACTATATTCATTTAAAAGTTTTGTAATCTTTATTTAACTATATATTTTGTTTCATATTTTTTACTGGGCACAATGAATGTTTATTTCATCGAAAATATAATATTTATAATCAAAATGTAATTATTTTATTCAATATTCATCTGAAACAAATGAGTGTATCACACTGACACCCGTGCGAACGCACGGATATCTCACTAGTTAATCATTTTCAAATTATTGTTAGCAATGCATGTTTATAGTTTTGTAAAATTTGAAGTAAGCCGCTTACATTCCTTTCCTACTACGGAACGGTAAAAAAGTTTAAGGTGAAATAGGTATGGTGGAGAACATGAACCCTAAAAAGTTTAGGGGTGAAAACAACCCTACAGAAGTGTATCTATGAATTTTAGGAATACATGTGTTTTTAGGTAAAATCGGAGATACATCTCCGAACCATTTTTTTAAAATTGGGGTGAAACTCGGAACAAATGACATGATTTTGAGATGAACCAAAGGTAAAGTTGGATTTTCAAGTGTAGTATGTTGATATAAAGATGGAAAGAGCAATTCCTTATCTTATATACAACATGTCATATTACATGGCAAAAAGGCCCACAATATGCTTCCAATGCAGGACAAACCGTACTGCAGACTCCAGGCCCTGTGCTAGTTTAATTACTCGCGGCACACATAATTTTGTGCCATCATTTTACCTTCATCGTAAGGCATAGTGCATTGGACAAAAATTGCTTTAACTGCCTAAAAACTTCTTTAGCAAGTCTTTGGGATGGATATTGTTGCACTTCTGCCGTGCTGTGGTCTTCAGTCTCCGACTATGTCTTCTTTGAGCGTATCTTCCTTTAAAATTGACTTGTTCCTACTTCCCAACTAGCTTACTTGTCTTCTTCGGAATATTTTCACAACTTTGAATCTTTTAATTTCGAATATATCTCTCTTCTTATACTCATGAGTCATGCGTGGAAAAATGACAGGAAAGTCTTCCATTAGGAGTAAAATATGGAGTGTTGGTGAGAATTCTCTCATGCTAAAATGCTTAATTTACCTTGAAAATGTCTCAATTTGCATACACAATTCATTTCCAAAATCTTTACCAAATAAGTTGTTTCAAATTTCAAATGAAAAAAGGGCATCCTTGTCTCCTGAAAATTCCTCAACTTTCCTTCTCAAGTGACTCAAGACTTCATAAATTTCTCCTGAATTCAAACAACACTTATCATCAGCAACAAACTTGTGGATGGTTTGATCAATTTCAATGAAACTGCAAGCAGAAACAATCGCCACTCCCCTATCTTTCATCATTTTTCTTACCTCAGAAACACCTTCCCACTTACCCATATTGGCATAAATGTTCGCCAAAAGGATGTACCTACCACTATGTTGAGGCTCAAACTCTATCAAATACTTGCCAACTTTCTGTCCCAATTCAAAATCACCATGCAGCAAACATCCATTAAGCAAAGACCCCCATATAGCTCCATCAGGTTCAATATGCATACTTTCAATAAAAGTTAAGGCCTTTTTTACTCGTCCACTTCGAGCCAAAACATCAACCACACATCCATAATGTTCAATAGATGGTGCAATGCCATATTTTTCACTCATAATTCCGAATAACCGCAACGCTTCACCAAACAGACTTTTACGATTGCAAGCAGTGAGAACACCAATGAAAGTAATCTCATTAGGTTTTGGTCCAACCTTCTCCATCTTCTCAAACAGTTTCAGTGCCATCAGATTATTCCCATTAATAGCCAATCCCAAAATCATAGCACTCCAAGTAGCAACATCTTTAACAGCCATTTTCTCAAACACTTCCTCTGCACTCTTTAAACAACCACATTTCGTGTAGAAATCAATTAACGCTGTTCCAAGCTCAAGTTCATACTCCAAACCATTTTCCTCAACATAGGAATGAATCCATTTCCCTTCCTCAAAAGCACCCACCATTGTACAAGCCTTAAGAACACTCACCAAAAGAGTCCCATTGGGTTTCACACCTGCACAACCCTTGTTCTTCTTCAATTCACGAAAAAGCTCAATCCCCTCACTGAAAAAACCGTTCTTTACATACCCAGAAACCATAGCACTATAGGACGCATCATTTCTCTGTGGCATTTCGTCAAACAATTCCCTCGCTTCATTAACCAACCCGCAACTGCAATAGCCACTCACGAGACTCGTCCAACAAACTACATTTCTGTTAGAACTTTCATCGAACACGTCACGCGCAAAGTGTATCGCCCCGTGTTTCGAAAAAGCAATGATAAGAGAGCTCACGAAATATAAATCAGATGAATTTCCCAACTTCATGGACAGAGAGAAGACTTGTTCTAGAGAGGAAAGTGTATCACACGCTTTTACAACAGTGGTGAAAGTGTTGGAATTGGGGCGAATATTGGTGTTGAGCATTTTGGTGAAGATGGAGAGTGATTTGTGGGATTGGGAATTTGTTGTGTAAGAGGTGATGATGGAGTTGTAGTCGAAGAGATTGGGATTGGGGATGTGGGTGAAAAGGGTCTCTGCGTAGTGAAAATGGCTGCGCGGCGAGAAAGAGTACAAGGCTAAGATTCTGCTGGAGATGTAGGAGAAACGAGTGAGGTTGTTGGTGATGGTGTGAGCGTGAATTTGTTTGATTTGTTTCATGGTTAGGTTTTGCCATTGTTGTAAGAGATGGAGACATGGACTGTGTCTGGTTGAGCTCATTAGCTCGCAGGAGCTACCATAGGATGTGGCTCAAGTTTCGTGGAAAGCAAAAACTCTTACGACCTGTTTGGTTTGGTGGAAGTAGAAACGAGAAAGGTTGAAGAGACATTATTAATTTCTTTCTATTCGGTTGCAATCAAATTGTACATAGAGAAAGATAATATATCGGTTCCACCATTTTTTTGCCATTCCTAGTCTCGTGTTTGAAAGATGCCAAAATGTCATCTCTCGCTTTAAATCATTCTACTCTTACATGTCTTGTATTTGAAAGTCGATAGAACATTATATTCCACTTTAACCACTTATTTCTTACATGCCTTTGATGAGACGATTTTCTGGGGTGCTCCATCAGTGATAGTTGCAATATGTTGTCGCTTTCTTTTACTAACTCCTTTATCCTCGTCGCTAGTCCCTTCCCCATTAGCCACGACATCCATAATCTTGGACTGAGATTTATTCTTGGTGATTTTTTCCTATATGTCTTCCGCCTTTAGTATACTCAAAAAAACGACACTTTTTAATTAAACACTCAATGACATCCTTCAGATGGATCTATTAGTCGGTGGTGTGGACATCGCCCTTGTGTAAGTGATAATATTTTGTCTTGTCAGTTTTGGAAGGTTCTCTAACAAGAAAGGGGTTTATGATTTCGGCCTTCCGAAATTTTGTGTTAGTGTTATGAGTGCAACTTGCCTTTAGATTTGTTTTGAGTGATGTCAAAATTGTAAGAACTTAGCATTTATGTATAGTGAACGTTATTACTGAGTTAGTGTGACATCTTGTGTATTTAGAGGTCTTATGAATCATCTTAAACATGTTTGAAACTAGTCTCATTCATTAAAAATTATTTTCTGTACAAAATTGTACTACATGTGTCGGCATATACGTGTTTCAAACCTACACATACAACTCAATAATAAAACACGTGGAGTTTATAGTGCTTAAGCCGACATATATTGTGTATAGGCTAACATATGTGCTATCAAATTAAAGCATGTAGCCACTGTGTAGCTTAGGCCAACACATGCTCCTTCATAGACCGACACATACGGCTGATTTTGTGTTTATGTGCCGACACATATTGATTGTTTGAGTCATTTTTTTAATTCCTTGATTCCTACACTTTTATTTTTGCCATGTAACTTACACAACTATAAATACATCATTCATGTATCATTTCAACTTGGTGAAAATATAAACACATACTACATTTTCTTTTCACCTTCAACCCCAAATCTATGCATACACACTGATAAATCGCGCATAATCATCTTTTATCAGAGTGTCATCTATGTGAGGTTTGATAACGTCCAATTAGGTTCTTGTGTAGCCAAGAATATTGGGTTGAGATTTGCAGGGGGTTTCATCCGGAAAACCCGCGGATTTGTTCTCCAAGATCTTTGTTAGATTTGAGGGTTTTCGTGCAAGACATTCAATAGAGGATTGCGGCCTAGTGAAAATCCTTCGGAGTTTGGTACCTAAGGAAGTACTGCGAGAACGAAGAATCGAATTGAAGTTTTTTGTGTGCAATAAGTACAATTGATCGTGCACGAAAGAGATTTAGAGTTTGGTACCCAAAGGAGTAGTAATATTGGATAAATTAATTGGTATGCTATTGTGTCTTGGTCTTGCTCAAGATCAACAAAAGAGAATGGGTTGAATCAACAACAAATGGTTAGGGTGCATAATAAGAATTTATCCTAATTCCAAAATTGGAATTGAGGGGAGACGTAGCCATAGCGAGGACGATTGGTGAACTTCCTAAATAAATCCTCGCGTCTCTTTTTCTTATTGCTTTACTTGATTTATTTTTCATTAAGCAATTTGTCAAATATCATTGATTAAATGATCGACTCGTAAGAATTTTTTCGTGGTTGTTATTGTTTGGAATTGGGTTATGATTGGCTTATAATAACTTTTGATTATAAGTTCTTTTTTATATCAACACAACTCAAAGGAAAATTCTAAAAATTCAGTTGCACACCAAGTGTTCGACAAATTGTTATGTTCGTTAATTTTGATAGTTACCATTAGAAATAGCTTTACTAGTAACTTGCTATAAATGATAAGAACATCAAGTGTTATTTATTTTTCTGCATTTACCACTTTCATATTCATACACAAACCAAAAAATAAGAACATCATCGCATAAAAGAATAAAAATCTGCAATTCACTTTATTCAGCCCTGTCTTAGGCGCATTAAAAACCAACAGAGAAGATTTACCTTAAATATAAAATTATAAGATAAACTTAGAGTTATAAATTGTTATTAGTACATAGAAAAAGGAGAGAAAGAGGCTAGAGGATAAGCAAGACAAAGGGGAGGCTAAAGGTTGAAGGGAGAATCCATCCAAACTAGTTCTGAATCAGACTCTTGCTAAGAATTAAGGCAAAGGGGAGAATAACCTTAATAAAGGGTATATGTATGAGGGGCAGGGTAGAAGAGTCCTTAACCTCCAATAGGTTGATATGGATGTGTATGTTTTGTTTTGTTACTATGTGAATCTTAAAAATTATGATTCATTGGTGTTATAATATGTTTTGAATGATGAAATTCGTGTACCATTTACCATGAAAATATGCCACTTATATGTGTTGTTGATTTGGGTTAATAAACATGAAATTGTATGATTTAATCCATGTAAATTTGATTAGATTGATGTTATAGACGTACAAATGTGTGTGGTTGTCTGTTTTAATTTGTTTAGCATATTTGTAATTGAAATTTGGAGGATTGGGATCCAAAAATCAGAGCTTAAAGGTGCTCCATGACTGAAAACTCGATTTTTTATTTCTAGTTTAGGTGACGGGCGTCACTAGCATGAAGGGTAAACCATCATGCATTACGAACCAATGGTGGGTGTCATCGACCTGACGCCCAGGGCGCCATGGACCTGAGACTTGCGCAATGAGTCTGTTTGGAAGTATAAAATGCAAATTTTTGGTCAATTGACTTTTATTGATTGTTTGACTTCTGTTGGGGCTGAAGTGATGAAAATTAATTAATTTAAAATTATTTAATCGAGTAAATGTTGATCGGTGCGTTTTGATGTTGTGTTGAGGATGAATTATGAGGTGTAGTGATAATATAATATATCGAGTATGTTGAATTGTAATTATTGTGTTGTTGCATGTATGAGATGATAAATGATTGAGAAGAGTTATTATATGCTTGAACTGCACTGAGTTATGTTGTTTTGTGCATATATGAATTGGAAACAACTTTAAAACAATAACTCAGTGGAAACATAATATCCAACTTAAAGGACATAACATCTTGTCCAACTGGAAACAACTTTAAAACAACAAGTACTTAACAAAAATCAACTTAAAATTCAATAATAGAAGTAAAATCGGCAATAAATCAATAAGTGTTCATCCCCCCGAGTGTTACGTATTAGAGCAATGACACCGACTCGAACTACTGAAGGTAAACCGCCTTCACTCTGGATTACCTGCACGTTATCAACATTGGGGTAACATTCAAACAGAAGAGGTGAGATATCTAACAATATAATTGAGCGTATGATAAACATTATGTTAGAACCGGTTCATACAAAGTCACCGCTTCACAACTTATAACCAACAACAATCACAACAAGATACCGGCAAAATATAACGATTAATTCATCACAAAACATCTCAAATATGCAACGTGGAATGCGACTTATTACTACGCACATGCATGTGGTACCAGTGGAGCAAAACTCCAAACTTAAAAATTTATGAATAAATAGAGGCATCAACAAAGCATAAGTCTTCAACTTAATATTTTTCCAATCCAGGCTAACCTAACGAGCCTCAGCTCCCAACATGATATGTTATGTATGCGACAACATGATTAACGGCAACAACAACAACATCAACATATAACAACTTTGGCATAAGCCTACAACTTAATGTTTTGCCCATAATAGAGGCAACACAACAAAATTCATCACCTGCAACTTCAACAATTAATAACACCGACATCACAACAACTTATATATATATATATATATATATATATATATATATATATATATATATATATATATATATATATATATATATATATATATATATATATATATATATATATATATATATATATATATATATCAATTACCCCTATTAATACTATACTTCCCGTCGAGACCAACTCTGTTACCTAATACTCTTACCTACTATACTTATGCTAATCTACAATTATTCACTTATGTTACTAATAAATAGCCTCTACTGTTATTCATTCTTTTCTAACTCTTCTACATCCATTTGTGTAACTAAATACTAAAGTTATGGTCGATTCCAGAAAATCCAACAAAAAAAGAAACATCTATCAGCTACTAACAACCATCGCCAAGCGAAGCCCCTCGTCGCCCGGCGATGCAGCCTTCGCGTCACCCTTCGCCCGACGATGCTAGGCATAATGCACTCTAGTAACTCATCCAAAAATCTTCCTTCTTATCGCCTCCACTTTTTTCCCGGTGATGCACCACCGCCCGACGATTCTCTGCGAACAAGGTTTTCCTGTTTGCGATTCTGCGCTATACCAGGCCAAATTTTCTTGTGATCTTGTCACATTACGGGTCCTAAAAGTCACCTAAACATATTGTTTCACTATCTATCAATTCATCACAATGCAATACTTTTTGTACACCAATTACGGGTCCTTTTTCATCATCAAATCTTTTAATCCTAATTTCTATTACTCATTGGTTTTAGGTTGGGGTTTCATGGAATTATCATCATTACAACAATCACAATCATAAGATTCTATTATAGAGTCAGAACCCCGCCCTTACCTTGAATTGAAGGTTGCTCTACAATTTTTTCGACCGAACCTCGCTTTTCCTCTTCTCTTTGCTCTGCAACTTCTATGTTCTCTTTCTCTCTTCCAACCCTTATTCCTCTTCTTCCTGACAAAAACCTATTTTTTCTATTATTATAACTAAACTCAATAACAATAGTATTTCTATTGGGCTTAATTCTCACACCCCCTTAATACTACATACCA